TGGTTTGGGGAAGACAGGTCTACTCTCATACGTTAGAAAACTGCTTTGAGAAAGAAAACAGCAGTTCCCAACAACTTGTGTGGACTAGCTTGGTATTTTACCTACAGTGAATTCATGAACATCTTCTCCACCACAACTGAGAATTATTACATTATGAAATTATATGATTAGTTTACAGATAATAAAATATATAAACTCCTACTTCCCATGTCTATACTGTTTAACTTTTCAGTGAGTTTCAGCCTCTTCCCTAGGGTTTTCCTTGTTGTTTGTCTTCTTTAGGATTAAAGATTTTAGTATGTTTATCCTATATTATATGTCTAATATTCACTTATAAGTGAGTGTATACCATATGTGTCTTTCTGCTTCTGGGTTACCTCAGGATGATCTGTTCTAGTTCTACCCATTTGCCTGAAAATTTCATGATTTCCTTGTTTTTAATTGCTAAGTAGTATTCTATTGTTTAAATGTACCACACTTTCTGTATCCATTCTTCAGTTGAGGAACATCTAGGTTGTTTCCAGATTCTGACCATTACAAATAAATCTGCTATGAATGTAGTTGAGCAAAGGTCCTTGGTGTGTGGTATAACTTTTGGGTATATGCTCATGAGAGGTTTAGCTAGATCTTGAGGTAGTAGTATTCCCAATTTTCTATGAAAGTGCCAGATTTATTTCCAAAAGAGTTGTAAAATGTTACATTCCCACAAGCAATGGAGGAGGGTTCCCCTTTCTTCACAGCCTCTTCAGCATGTGTTATCTCTTGCGATTTTGATTTTAGCCATTCTGATGGGTGTGAGGTGGAATCTCATGATAGTTTTGATTCACATTTCTCAGATGACTAAAGACTTTGAGAATTTCTTCAAGGGTTTCTCTAAGGAACAGGATATGAGCCTTCCACAAGGGACTTCTGAAAGACTCTACCCATAAAGGTATCGTAGGAGATACTGAGACTCATAACCAACCTTTGGGCAGAGCGCAGGAAAAATATTGAAGAATAGGGAGATAGAAAGATTAGGAGGGGACAGGAACTCCACAAGGAGAACAAAAGAGCCAAAAACCCTGGGCCCAGGGGGAACTGCAGAGACCGATATTCCAACCAAGGACCATACATAGAGAGAGAACCTAGACCCCTTGCTCAGAGGAAAACCATAAGCTACTCAGTTTTCAAGTGGGTTCCCTAGTAATGGGGACAGGGGCTGTCTCTGACATGAACTCAGTTGTGGGTTCTTTGATCACCTTCCCCTGAGAGAGGTGCAGCCTTGTTAGGACACTGAGGAAGAGGATCCAGGCAGTCCTGATGAGACCTGATAGACTAGGGTCAGAGAGATGGGGAGTAGGATAACTCTTATCAGTAGACTAGGGGAAGTTCATAGAGGGAGTAGGGGGTAGGTTGGTGGGACTGGGAGGAGATGAAGGAGGGGACTACAGTTGGGATACAAAGTGAATAAATTTAAATAAATAAATAAATAGATAGATAGATAGATAGATAGATAGATAGATAAGTAAATAAATGAATATAAACTCGCCAATTTTAAGCATTCTTAGACCAATTAACATTATAATGAACTACACATTTGATCATAGTTTTAAGTTTTTATATTTTAATGGGATATGGGTTCTGTACAGGCTGGTTTTATATCAACCTTACAAAAAGTTGAGTCATTTTGGAAGAAAGAAGCTCAAATAAAAAATAATTTCACAAGACTGTCCAGTAGGCAAATTTATAATGAAATTTTTCTTTTTTTCCTTTCTTTCTTTCTTTCTTTCTTTCTTTCTTTCTTTCTTTCTTTCTTTCTTTCTTTCTTTCTTATTTTCTTTCTTTGTTTCTTTCTTTTTATTTAGTTCCTGGGATTATGATAAAATTAAGTCTTTTTTTGTACAAATTCAGCCCCAACTTACTGTAACATAAAAATAATTCTATTTAAAATGTTTATGATTCTCTAGCAGAAGAGGAGGAGGAAAGATCATAAGGCCAGAGGTAGTGGATGACTCACAGGAAGTAAAGTCTTCTAGACACAACAGGATTGGTATACACATTAACTCACACATACTGTTGCAATACATACAAGACCTGCACATGTTCAAATCAGACAAAATTCAAGCACTGATATGGTAAAGTGGACCAAAAATGCCACTCCTATCCAAGAAAATATTTGCAGTTGATACCTGCTCAGAAAAGAAAGTCAGTTTTCTCTAAAGGAGTGACACTGGACATAGCAAACAAAATCTAGGACAGGCCCCATACCCCAGAGTAGAAGACAAAAGCAAAACCATAAAATACCATTTTTTTTTCTTGTGCACTTTTTATGTTGCTTTGGTTTTTTTTAATTGTCTTTTTAGTTTTTTGGTTATTGTGGGAGTCTGTGTAGATTTTTTTTTGTTGTTGCTTTGAGATAGAGTGAAAACATATTTTTGGGTTGGTAGTGTAAAGACAATCTGAGATGGTTTAGGAAATTGGAAAGAATACAATTCAGTACTTTAAAAAACAGAACATACAAATGTGTTGCCATTTTATTAAGGCTGTTTTATTTGATTCTAATTTATTTTGGCTGGCTATTCATTTTTCATTGTGGACTTTTAATTCTTATTTGAAAACAAAAACACCTATCAATACTCCATTAGGCTATGTTGTTTTGAAAAATGAAGAAATCTTCATTTTCTCTGCCTTCCTATTCAAAACTTTCTTGAGAAGACAGAAAAACAACAACAACAAAAAAAAAAACAGCAAATAAACAATTGGCCAATGGTGAAGGATGCTAGGGAAGGAATGACTCATTATTCTGAACATTAGAGAGACATTTATCTGTCAATCTTATACAAATGGTTTAAAAAACATGAAGAGACAAGGCTAATAAACTGGAGCTGAGAATGCTCCCTCCCAGAGACATAGCACCTATCACAACTCTCAATGTCAAACATGAAAAGCCCTCTTTTGAGTTGTTGGTCCATATCCCAGTTAGGGTTGTTGGGACAGAACACCCTGACTAAAAGCAAGCATGGAGGAAAGGGTTTAATTGGTTTATACTCCTATGCCTTAGTAGATAAAGTCAGGACAAGAATTAAAGCAGAGTTGATACAGTGGCCATGGAGGGTTACTGCTTACTGGCTTACTGGCTTACTGACTTGCTCCTTATGGCTTGATCAGCCTGCTTTTTTATAGAATCCTAGGCCACCAGCTCAGGGTGTTCCACCCACTATGTGCCAAGCTTTCCTGCTTCATTCACTAATTAGGAAAATTCCCTACAGACTTGCCTACAGCTTAGTCTTACAGAGACATTATCTCAACTGAGGCTAATTCTAAAGTGATTTTGGCTTTTGTCAAGTTGACATAAATATAGCCATAGTCAGGCTTGTCCAAGAGATTTCCAAAACATATAACCGTTGCTATTGCCCTTTGTTACCTACCTCAGGGGAGGAAGTAAATATCCATTGCTGAATACACTTTACAAACAAAGCTGAGAGCTCTCCGACCTGGAACTGTCCTGAAATTCTCCTCCCTAGAGGACTAGACAAGCAATCTTCCTAAAATGGGGAACAACTAACAATCATTTCCAGTTCTGATACCTATGACCCACAACAATGGACAGCATTGCTCCATAATCTTAAGGGTGTAATAATGGCATGTATGCCTTGGCATACATGAAATTAAGACATGTTCAAGAAGAGAGAACAATACTTGGTACTGGAAACTTAGTCAACTATCCAAGGCCAGTGAAGTCATGTATTATGGAGGAGAAAATACAACCACACTTTTCTAAGCCAGCATAATCCTTAATAACAATCTAAATATTTCCTTATACTCATGTTCAAGTGTAGTTCTCATACCTTACCAAGAGAACTTCTCTCGGTAGCACACTAAGACAATAAGAGAAAATCATAACTGATCCAAATGTAGAGTTGTGGAGCCTTCCCAATGGATACATCTACAAAACCGCCCCTATACTTAAGAATCAGTGAACACTGCCAAAGATGGGATGGAAAGATTGTAAGAGCAAAAGGATCAGGGAGTGACATTGTATCAATTAGTAATATTAGAAGCTACATCCATTAAATTCCATCAATATGGCTGACTAAACATGACCAGAACAATGAAAACAGTAGACATGCCAAAAGAGACAGGAGAAATCCCAAAAGGCTTCAAATCTACACAAAGAACTACAGGAAACTACGGAATGCTTAGAGTCGAAGAAATAGTCTTCTCCAGAGAAGAACACATTAACTGTTTATCCAATGCCATATGGTCATCTCTGAACACATATATACAAGTAACATAAAGACTGAGCAGCTTAAATGTAGGAGGAATATATATGAATGCATGTAGTAACAATTAATGAAAAAAGAGGTCATGAATTTAAGACAGAGAAAGGAGAGGTATATGAGATTTGGAGAGAGGAAAGGTGAGAGAGAAATTATATAATTGTAATATAAAAAATTAACAAAATGCAATATGCTGATATTATTTTGATTATTAAAATGAGACAGAAAACCTAAAAAATTTGGTGTATGTGATAAAAGGAATATTTGTGAATATTTGATAGAATGCAGTTACTGCTATTTTACAGTATTGTAATACTACTGTATTTACTTACAAAGAGCAAAACATTCTCTTTTGAGGCACTTTCTAAAATATTTAGGAATAATTAAAATATGACTGGAATTTGCTTCAAAATAACAAGGGAATTAATAGAGGCATAGAGGAAATAAGACTGCCCATGAATTGAGGATTGGAAAGGACATGATTGTTTATTATAATATTCTGTCTACTTTTATAAATATTCAAAATATTCCATGAAAAGAAGGGCTAAAAATAGAGAAAAAGGATATTATTAATGCAGATTTTTGACATTTAAAATATAATGTGTGTAGATAATTTATAATTAACTGTTGGATTAAACGAGTAAAAATATTTTCCTCTCATTTAATTTTTAATTGAAAAAAAATTAAAATAGTAATTTAATGCTCTCTATGCACAAGTCATTAGTGTCTAAAACATCCTACCCTGTGTACATCATTCTGCTTCTGAACTGTTGGAAAATCACCCCCGATAGGTGCCTGCCGTTTCAGCTCATCTTCTTTCAGCTGCAGCCACACAAGGAGTTCCTGAAGAGAAAGATGCAAACGCTTCCACTGGTCAGAACTGGCTTCCAAATGTGACCTGAAAATGAACAGAAGCAAACTGTCAGAATATCTAGAAGTATAATTGGTGAGTCTGTTAATTCCATTTCATTGTTTGGATATGGCCATCATACAAATTTATTGTGAGTTACATACCACAGCCATCAAAAAATTCTAGGTACCTGATTTTGTGAGTCAGAAAAATGGGGTGCGATTATTCTGATGAGAAGTTTGAGGAAATGCCACATTCATCCATATGTTGCTATGTATGAGCAGAATTCTGAAATCTTTGGCATAGCCTACTCATTGGAATCAAATGCTTTCCCATTCTGTTTCTATGAATAATTTTTAATGTTTCTGGTAAAAAAAAGACTTAGAAACAGTGGCAACTCATACTGGAATTCTTTTTGCTTTGAGAAATGGAAAGTTCTCTCCCTACATTTTGATTTCTCCATTTCTTACTCCCTGGGCAGTTTTGTTGTTGTATTTTTTTTTTTTTTTGAGTCCTTCCATCTGGTATTGTTTTTGTTGTTGCTGTTTTTAGTTGGTTGGTTTGTTTTGTTTTTGTTTTTGTTTTTTCCTCTGCTTCCCATATTCTTCTCTTTTCCCTCTACCAGTTTACCCTTCTTTATTCCTTTGCACCTAAAATTTGTTTTTCATCATGTTCCAACAGTTTTTGCATTGTTTCCATTCTGAATAATTCATGGAGATAACAACTTAATGGAAGAGAAAAATCAGGTATTTATCAGTAAGCTTCTCCCAAACATGAATAATTTAAGATTGAGACTGTTTTCCTGTCAGCTGTATTTAGAACATGTTAATCCTTAGAAGCCAGGTACAAATGAATGATCTGTGTTATAAAAATCCACATTTCATTTAAGGAGGAGAAAATAAATTAATAAAATAAAATATCCAGAAAACAAAAAGAAAAGTTACAGCACTTTGTTCTCATATCATCTGCAGCCATGCTGCATCACTTTCGTTTTATCAGCAAGCACTAATTAATTCATAAAAACTAATACTGCCAATAACATATACACGCCAAAGTCTTCACATATACTAAGAAATAAAATGAATACCAGTCATGTAGAAGACAATTTCCTATGTATCTTCAGTAACTGAGCTTGACATTTCCTTTCTAATTCTCCTTCTGATTTTGAATTTCTAGAATAAGAACTTACTACTGAAATTAAATTGTTTCAAATTTTTAAAAGAAAATTAAAAAATTGAATAAAATCTAATAAAGATATAAAAGATCTTTAAGATGGGCAAATATTCAATTTAAGAAACATGACTAGGCATGGAAATAACCTAGAACCCCTGCACACATGTAGCCCATGGCAACTCAGTCTCCAAGTAGGTTCCCTAGTAAGGGGAACAGGGACTGTCTCTGACATGCACTCAGTGGCTGGCTCTCTGATCACTTCTCCCTGAGCGGGGAGCAGCCTTATCAGACCACAGAGGAGGACGATGTATTCAGTCCTGATGAGACCTGATAAGCTAGAGTCAGATGGAAGGGGAAGAGAACCTCCTCTATCAGTGGATTTGGGGAGGGACATGGGAAGCGATGAGGGAGGGAGGCTGAGATTTGGAAGGATGAGAGGAATCTATAGCTGGGATACAAAGTGAATAAACTGCAATTAATAAAAAATAAATTAATTTAAAAACTAAAAAATTTTTAAAAATAAACATGAAGAAAGCAACTGGAAAAGCTCACAACATTATAGGTAGAAATTATTCATTGCAACATTGCTTATGATTGTGTTAAACTAGAAGCAACATAAATATTCAGTGCTAAGGACTGTATTACACCGATGATGGTAATGTCATACAATGATGGTCTAGGTAATTTTTTATGCATATGGAAAAAGAGAACCAAAGGACTGGGAGTAAGGGCTAGAGCAGAGACAGTCAGAAAATAATATCCAATTAAAATAATTTTAAGTTGTAGATCTCACGTTTCAGTTTAGAATAACTTGCTTGAAATCCAGATCTCCAGACCTTGCTGACAAAATCTCCGCAATTTTAAGAAGTGCTTTCACAGCTCTTCAGCTGAACTCTAACAACACTGAAAAATAATTTCTTAAAGTATTACTTTTAATTCTTTAACACTATATGTGGGTATTTCTAGAAATGAGTTTGTATCTACTCAACATAATTTAAAGACTATCTAAATATAAGGGAACTATTAGGTTGAATAATATTTTTCTTTAGCACATTAAGCTTGTGAAATGATTGAGACATTTATAATTCATGTGCTAGAAAAAGCTGCTTGTTGTATTTTAATGATTGCGTATCAAATACCTTGGAAAAATTAGCTTATTTTGTGCTTGGAAAGACATCTCCTCAAAAAAAAAAAATGGGTAGCTTTCTGTATTTACTTACTTTCTGTATTTGGATTTATTTTTCTAAAGATATTAGGATTAAGATGAGCTTTAAAGATTACAATTCAAACACTCTGTTTTATAACTGGGGGAAAAAGCAAGCCTAGAGGTCTAACAAAAACTACTGTGGCATAGCTGTTATATGTCATATTTACATATGGGAATTGAGAATTACAAGTCACCCTTAGATTAAAAACAAACAAACAAACAAACAAACAAACAAACAGACCTTAAGCATCTTTAATTTAATCAACTATTCTAGATTCCAGGGGGAAAAAGACTTTTCTTAATGGTCAAATGTACCTTACTTACCCCTACCCAATAAATAGAAAAGAGAGGTGGCTTGAAGTGGCAGACTTAGCATCTATCCAAGCCGTATTAATCTTTATTAGTGAAGACAAGAGCTTGGGGGTTACTAGACTCTAAAAAGACAAGTGCATCTTGAAAAATATTATACAAATTATAAAGTTTAGGCTCTTTTGGAGTGTAGGGATTTAATGCTTGATATTTAAAGGACACTTCAGAGACAGGACTCTAAGAATTATATGGATGATAAAGTGGTTGCTATTTCTCTAGACATAGATATTTCAAATGTGATTTGGTTGATGCCTAGTTTGAATCTATACTTTGAAAAGCACATATACTTAGAGCAAATAGTGCTGTATTGAATTTATTTTTCACTTTGACTTCTTCTATAAAGCTAGTGATATATCACTGTACATCCTGTGTGCCCCTGTGTAATACAATAGCAGTTAAGTAGACAGAAAAAAGGGTACAGATGTGGAAATAATGACAAACCATAGAAATGAAGTGGGAGCTATGGGACTTTAAATGAAGATAAAGAATTAAATTCAAAAAGAAGCAATTTTTTTTTAATCTGGGCCTTGAATGCCAACTTTCAACATAATTAACATTCCACGAGCAAAAGAAAGGTCAGAGATACTCAATGTCCAAGTTGCTTTTATTCCTCCTCAAAAGTAGAACGGCATTCTTTCTTTTGCTCTTTTTTTGTTATCCATTATAGAAACCAAACAAACAAACATACAAAAAACCTTTCCATTCTAAAAAACCTTTCCATACCAAGTACTCCCTAAAAGAGGCATTGCTGATGAAGAATATGTTTGTGTTCTTTTCTTGTCCCTCAAACTAATGTTAATTTGCTGAAGTTATATCAATTAAAGTAATTAACATATTAAGTAATCCTCATAGTGAATTGTTTATATACTAACATGGGAAAAGATGAATACAGATTAAACAATTCTTCATAAATATTGCTTCTGTAAAAAATTCACTTGACCAGTTCTAAAATTCTTGCTCGTATTGAAGTCAAAGTGAAAGGTTGTGGATATGGGCTATTTTAGCAAGAGAAACACTTTGCCCATTCATCATCCTGGTATTGTCTCAATACTCATAACTCTGTGTATGTATGAATGCATACATTTTTTTATTTTTGTTTTCACTTTTTAATTTTTTATAATTTATTCACTTTATATTCCAATTGGAGCCCTCTCCCTCCTCTTCTGGTCCCAGTGTGCTTCCAACTTACCTTTTCCTGTAGACCACAAAAAGGGGGAACACTCCTCTCCTACCATCTGACCCTAGCATATCAAGTCTCATCTGGACTCCCTGGATTCTGTTCCTCTGTGGCCAGGCAAGTTGGTCAAAGAGTGTGTAAACAGAGTCCAGATCAGAGATAACCCTTGCTCCCCTTACCAGGGAACCCACCTGAAGACTGAGCTGTCTACAGGCTACATCTGAGCATGGGGTCTAGGTCCTCCCCATGCATGGTAGTTGGTTGGTACATCATTTCTATATGTAAATAAAAGCATTACTGGATTTCCACATTTTACCTTGTTCTATGGAACTGAGCCATCACTGATTATTTACTTATTAGTCTATCTTGTTGACAACATGCAATATGATAATGAGTCTGGAAGGTATGATCAACATTTCTTGAATGGATAAGTTAGTATTATATAATTTCAAGCACTTTTCCTCAAAACCAACCTATTTATTTTTAATACTATATTTTAAAAATAAATTGGTGCCATGCAAATAAAAAAAAAAAAAACAAGAATCTGGGGAAAGGAATATGTTGGTAATATGCTTGCCAACCAAGCAGTTGCATTAAGTCAAGCATGGTGGTATGTATCTGTAATCCCAAACCAGTTAAGTAGAGACAGGTGGATCCCTGAGTTTACTGGCCATACATTCTAGAAAAAGTGAAGCATTTAATGTTCAGTGAAACATTCTGACTCAAGAAAAAAAATCAGAGAGTGACTGAGAAAGACATGGATGTTGATCTCTAGCCTCTTGCACACATGTACATATACCCATAAGCACAAGTGCATACTTACATGTGAACATATACATACACCACACACAAACACAGTGATTTGTGTAGGTTTAAAAAGCATTCATTCATAGAATTGCATAGTTGGAATAGAAGCTGAAAAGACCATGTTTCTGGTCTTACCTCTTCATTTTAGTGTCTCATTGTATTAAATCACTTAAGCAACTGGTTTTAGGTTGCATGTTAGGTCAAAAAAAAAAAAGAAGAAACAACAAAGACTATTCTTTTAGACTTCTTTTGACTTTACACATCTTTTATTTAATTTAGCTTGAGTCATCAGACATGAACAACTCATAGACACTCAACGAAATATTGTTTGTGTTTGTGTGTGTGTGTGTGTGTGTGTGTGTGTGTGTGTGTGTTGTCTGTGCTGTGGGTTGAGCCAAAAACCTTGTTCATGTTAGACAAGCACTTTACCCACTGGAGTATATAACAGAGCCATATACTTAGTCCTTCAATTGTAAATTAGAGTAGTCCTGGAAAGAACTAGTGAAGAACAGCCAGTATGGAAAAATGCATGTTGTATGATTTGAGTCAAAATTTAAACAATAATACAGGTTGTGTGACAAACAAGCATATGTTCATACACCATCTCCCATGAGAGACAGGAAACTGCTAAGAATTAAAAACTGGATTAGAAAGCAGAATTTACTTTCTCAGAGTTCCATGTAAGAGGGGCTGGAATGTTGCTTGATAAAGATACAGGATGGCCATGGGACATAAGAAGAACATACAAGTTTAGCAACCAAATAAATAAGATGTGTGCACAAGAACAAAATTTTTGAACTAAAGAGTAATGTGATAGAAACCGTATTCCAGGTCGAATATTTCTGTACAACTGTTGCTTTTATGCTCTGAAATACCCAAATGGTTTGAGAAGCACTCACAGAACAATGAACCCACTACATTTTCTTGTATATAATGTGCTATAATCTGCTGAAACAGGGTTGTTTTCCTAGGACATTTTGAAGTGTTTTTTGAAAATTGCAGTCACATTAAAGATGAAAAATACTCCAATGGACAGTCACCCCAATGTTCCTTTATCTTATTTCATAATATCCACAATTACTACCTGAGCTGTGCCACTGCTATGGAATGAGTGATACCCCTATTTCAGTCGAGTGTCAAGATAAACTAAAGTCCGGGAATGTGAAGAATTCTTTGCTTAATATAATTGAGTACTTACAATACGTTCTAGATTGTTACAGAGACCTACTTAAAAGCACAAACCATTAATCATAACATTTAAATTGCAAAATCCACAGCATCTTACATAAACTAAGGTAACTGTTTTCTGCTTGATTAATCACAGTAAGAATTAAACTGCAGTAATTGCCATATAGGAAAATGAAGAGCCCATATTTTGCTAACATGCTGTTTGCCACTTTCATTTTTTTTTATTTCATCAAGTTCATATAGAGGAAAGATATAAATAAAAACTTGCAACAGTTATAACCTTTTTCTTTTCCCTTCCTGCAAAAAGGGAATCACTTTTCTTTTCCTCACCCATTAAATCATTTTTCAGTTCAGGTTTTATTCTTTTTAAGGACATATGTTTCAAATGTCACCTTGGTCATTACATACTTGGACTACTCTTAATCGTTTAAAGCATAGAGAGCTAATAGAGCCCGTCTATGTTTGAAAGTGCAATATCCCAGTATTGCCCCTAGCTAATCACTAACACATAGATTGGATACAGCGGGGATACAGAATTAATAAAATGTAACTAATGATAATAAAAAAATAAAAATAAAAAGAGGGAAAAAAACCCAAAACAAATAATTAAAATCTAGCCACTAGAGAATAAAGCTTTTCTTTCAAAATAAAAATGGTTTGGAGAAGAAAAAAAAAATCATGGGCAGAATACTGAGATCAAGATGAGATTCTGGGAGGCTGAGGTGCAAACTTGAGGAAAAGCTTTGTAAAAATAAATTCTTTTGTTCTTTAAAAGATGTTTCTCAAGTCACTATCATCACTTATGCTGCATTTGTGATGATTAAAAGGTCATATGATGAAGTCAGACTCACTGTGAATAAGTCTTAGGCATGCCACTTGCTAAGTGGGTTACTTTCATAGACTTATTTAACCTCTCTGTTCCCCCTTTTCTCCAAAGGCTAAGATAGTATAAGAATGAAATCGACCTTCCAGGGCTGCAGGTAATATCACACAAGTCAAATACTTAGAGCAGCCAATGAGACATACATACACCTGTGTTACTTGCTAGCATTATTATTGTTTCATGGGTAGAGTTTCTACAACAGTGCTTTCAAGTTAATAAAATTCCAGTTGTTCATCTTCTTTATGAGGATTGTATGTTGAAATTGAAGACAATTTAGGAGGACTATAAAAAAGAGGAAAACCCTTTTTTTCTTTTATTAAATTAATTTTCCTTCTTTACCTCTCTTCATGACCACTGTTTCATAGGCACTGATGAAAGCACACACACACACACACACACACACACACACACACACACACACACACCTTTAAGTATTAATGAATTAAGAAACACAACCAACCAGAAGGCAGGAAGCTTAGCTTCTCTTCCTTGCATTTCCCAATTTCTTAGGTAACACTGGGCATTGCACAGACCAGCTCTGCTCTTTTGTCCCTCTATACACCTATCTTAGTCAAACAAGGATCCCAAGAGAGCTTCCCTTTACTTTTTTTTTAAGCAATATGCATCCATTCACTTCTTAAATCTAGCTGAGGTGAAAAATAAGCAAAGTGAAAATCAAGCAAAGTGAAAAACCTAAAAGTTTAGCGTACCTTCAAACAATGTGCTTCAATAAAATCTAAGAGAGATCAAATGATAGAAAAAAGGTTGCTATAATCTATAAAGCTGTAGGAATTCTGGAAAGAGTGTCTTTAAATTGTTAATTATAATGTGTTCAGCTTTTAAAGAATGTCCTTTGTTCATGCATTTGGTCATGCAAAGAGAGAATGCCATAGTAAACATTCACTAATTTTATTGATTTTCAAAAAACACTGTGAGAAGCCAAGAGAAAACGCTGAAATTAGGATCGCTATGCTCATTTTTGAAATTTACTCTAATGTCTTAATATGTATCTCTCCTGTGGTTATAAAAACAGTCCAGTTTTATTCTAACCAGAACCCTCAATTATTATCTCCATTTCAAGCAAATGAATGATTCATTTATTCAAAATAAAATGAATCATTCTGAAAATGGGTGCTCTACATAAACATATGAAATATTAGTGACCTGCGCTAGGAAAATGAGGATAATTTTATCTTTATTCACATCTGGATAACCCCCACCCTCTGATCATGCCTACCTAATGTTGAGAGACTTTTTCCGAAGCTCACTCCACTTGAAATTCATGTTATCCAAACGTCTGTGTAACAGGGGTGCTTCATCTGAACCTTCCAGTGATCTCAGGATTTTTTGGCCATTTTCATCAAGATTGTGATAGATGTCCGTATGAACTTCAATTTCTCCTTGGAGATCCTACCACACAATTGTAAAAACACATTCAGAATGACCAAACAAAGAGCATAGCTGTAAATGTGAATTTAAAGAACTATCATCATCATCATCATCATCATCATCATCATCATCATCATCATCATAATAATAATAAATAGTCCAAAATAAATTGTAATTTGGTAACTAACAAGAAAATATGCCCTCAGCATACATTTTGGTGTTCTGCCTTGTCAAATTATTATTTCTATGAATTATACTTACAGCAATTTCATAAGTTAAATTTTCTAGTCCATGTATGAAACACTCTGATACACATATGATTTGTGAAATAAAATGATATAGTAAAGTAAATCCTAGTGGTAATCATTTCATTGCAATATAAGTAGTTATATTTTAATTCATGCGTTAATTGATTGTGTTGACTGTGATCATAATAGCATGAAAAAATGTATAACCAAGTTTGTACACAACACCAGCACATTAATGAGACTCAATGAGACAAGATCATCTTCTAGACCACACACAAAAGTTCACCTTGGTTTTAAAATATCATACATATATTACAACATAATTCAATGATTACTAAGCATTCCCTTTTAAAATACCATCATCTTTTCAGGCAGGCAGAGAGACCAGAGGAGCTTGGTAAGAGTTATCACCAGAGATATACATTAAGTTTCATTTATATATACACAGATGAAAAAAACAACAACATAATATTAGAATCTGACCTTTACATGGTATGTCTTCCTGTGCAACATTTTCAGCTTGAACCGGGGACTACAGCACTGATCCTGTTGCATAGCAAACCTAAGAAAACTCAGAAACGGAATGGGTCCTACTTCAAAATGCCAACTTTTCTTACATTCTGTCCACAGAATGAGTATAAGAGAACAGGGCTACACAGTCAATAATCATAATCAGCCACTTTGTACTGCTTGCTAAATGGTAGACAGGCCTGTGGATGTGGGAGGGACCTCAAAGAATGGAGGCCTGGAATATGCAACTAACAGTTTATATTAAGCAGCCAACTTTTCTTATCATTTTGCCATAAGAGAGACACTATAAATTCATTTTATATATGTGTTTCCCTGCTTGTTCCCAGCAGAATAGTCAAAGCCAGAGGAACATTCCTCAGAGAGCTGCCGAGTACCAGCATTCCATTCTGCCTACACAATGAATGGAGGCTTTGTACATTATTTGACTTGCTTTTAGAGATTTGTATGCTTCTGTTCAACAAGTTTAAAAATTCATTCTGGAGCTCCGAGAAATTGGATTGATGTGCATAACTAAAAAAGTTTTCTTTCCCCCTTCTGTCTCTTACTCTATCTAAAACTGAATTAAATAATCCTGATAGAGTAAAAGGAAAAGTGGCAGCAATAACATGTTAGTAATTCTGAAGAAGTGGCTCAGGTTTTCAGTCACAGTCACTCTAAATGCAGAAGTTTGTATGCTGCAGAAGTAAGGTAGATGGACAATATTTCCTGTCACTATATTTGGCAGCAAAAGTAGCCCTGATGAACTATGAACACTGGAATGGAAATACAAAGAGAATAACCTCAAATGGTAAATAAAGGAAAATAATAAAACAGATTGAAGACCATATATCCCTATTGCAAAAAACCTTGAGGTTTTTTTGAGGGGTTATAGGTGCATTTCAAAAGCAGAAAATAGTACAAAATTATTCATGAGTTTCCTGCAGCATGGAGTTTAATCAGATAGATCTCATTTCAGGATTTTCTTTCTTTCTATCTCTCTGGGACACTTGGAACTCTGGGATACAGCTACACACACACACACACACACACACACACACACACGTGCGCATGCACGCACGCACGCACACACGGTTTCACTCTTTTGTCCAGGTTGGCAAAAAAAAATTTTCCCAGCGTTGGAAATTTTTTTTTTTGTTGCACGCAGGCAAACACACAGATTTTTGCTTCTTCCGTTTTAAGTACAAATGCTACAACTAATTTGCCATTTCTGTAGCAAAAGAGAAAACTAAGCTAATTGTCCTGTTGCCTGTTTTCTCACTCTTCTGATGTCAGTTCCCTTTGCCTTTCTGAATGAAGATTAAGCATCATAACCAAGGTCCTCCTTCTTGATTACGTTCCTTAGGTATACAGATTTTTAGTATGTTTATCCTAAATTAAATGTCTAATATCCTCTGATAAGTGAGTATAAACCACGTGTGTCTTTCTGTTTCTGGGATACCTCACTCAGGATGATCTTTTCTACTTCCCACCATTTGCCTGCAAATTTCATGATTTCCTTGTTTTTAATTGCTGCATAGTATTCCATTGTGTAAATGTATCACAATTTCTGTATCTATTCCTCAGCTGAGGGATATGTGTGTTATTTCTAACATCTGGCTATTACAAATAAAGCTGCTATGAATATGGTTGAGCAAATGTCTTTGTTGTATAATTGAGCATCTTTTGGATATATGCCTAGGAATAGTACACCTGGATCTTGAGTTAGCACTATTCCTAATTGTCTGAGAAAGCAGGGAACATTATAGGAGCCTATCACAGAAGGCCTCTGAAAGACTCTACCCAGCAGGGTATCAAAACATATGATGAGACTCAACTAAACATTGGGCAGAGTACAGGGAATCTTATGATAGAAAGACCAGGAGGGGACAGGAGCTCCACAAAGAGAGCAACAGAACCAAAAATGAGGGCATAGGGGTCTTTTGTGAGACTGATAATCCAACCAAGGATCATTCATGGAAATAACCTAGAACCCCTGCACAAATGTAGCCCATAACATTTCAGTGTCCAAGAAGGTTCCCCAGTAATAGGAACAGGGACCTTCTCCGACATGAACTCATGGATTGGCTCTTTGATCACCTTCCTCTGAGGGATGGTCAGCCTTACCAGGCCAGAAGAAGACAATGTAGACAGTACTGATGAGATCTGATAGGCTAGGGTCAGATGGAAGGGGAGGAGGACCTCCCTTATCATTGTACTGGGGGAGGGGTATAAGAGAAGAAGAGGGAGGGAGGGTGGGATTAGGAGGGGGTGGGGGAAGGGGCTATAACTGGGATACAAAGTGAATGAAATGTAATTAATAAAAACAAATTAAAAATGGGATACAGAGCTAGAGAGAGAGAGAGAGAGAGAGAGAGAGAGAGAGAGAGAGAACTAAGCTAATTTTCTAAATAATTCAGGACAGAAAATGAGACCTAACATTGAGAGCATTCTCTTGCTTGTCTCCCTTACTTTTTCAGTCTTTGTACACAACCTAAAGTTTCTTTACAGCAGTTGCATTCAGGGATCCAAAATATATCTTGGGAATGTTGAGGAAAATTATTCTCTCTCTCTCTCCCTATCTTTCTCTCTCTCTTTTTATCTCTCACTCTCTCTATCTCTCTTTCTCTCTTCCTGGCTTTCTCTGTTCTCTCATGGAATCACACATGTAAGGGCTCTACCCTGCTGGATACATCCCCAGACCCCAGAAAATAATTTTACCAATATAATGTATGTTCAGATATCTTAAGTATATAAATAATCGCACATTTGTATTTTTCTACCTTGCCCTCATAGCAAAGACAGTCCTAATTACTAGTTCCTTAAACTCACATGTAGCATGAAACAATCAATATTTTTCTTTGCTGAACTAAAAGAGGACTTATTAGGTGCAAATAGAATGATGATTCATTAATGTGCATATGTTCTTCATAAATGTGTAAAATCTAGTGCATATAAACATCTTTGTTGTCTCATTAAGAAAGAAAGGAACAAAAATGAATAAGCAAGTGTTCATCTAGTACCAATTTGTTTAGTCTTCGCATCATAAGAAATACAGGAAGAGTGAATGGAATTTTATGTAAGAAGTGGGAAATAGTAAGAGCTGGAGGGGACGGGAACTCCACAAGCAGAGCAACAGAACAAGATAATTTGAACACAGGGAACTTCCCAGAGACTCATACTCCAACCAAGGACTATTCGTGGAGATAACCTAGAACCCCTGCACAGATGTAGCCCATGGCAGTTCAGTGTCCAAGTGGGTTACATAGTAATGGAAATAGGGACTGCCTCTGACATAATCTGATTGGCCTGCTCTTTGATCACCTCTCCCTGAGGGGGGAGCAGCCTTACCAGGCCACAGTAGAGGACAATGCAGCCGCTTTTGATGAGAACTGATAGACTAAGATCAGAAAGGAGAGGAGAACCTCCCCTATCAGTGGACTTGGGGAGTGGCATGCATGCGGAAAGAGGAGGGAGGGAGGGATCAGGAGGGGAGGAGGGAGGGGCTTATGGAGGGATACAAAATAAATAAAGTGTAATTAATAAAATTAAAAAAAGAAAAAAAAAGAAATACAGGAAGAAGCGGTTTCCCCTCTTTCCAACCTCTCCAGCATGCAATATCCCTTGAGTTTTTTTTTTTTTTTTTATCTCAGCCATTCTGATTGGTGTAAGGTGAAATCTCAAGGTCGTTTTGATTTACGTTTCCAGAATGACTAAAGATGTTGAGCATTTTTTAAATTGTTTCTCTACCATTCTATCTTCCTCTGTTGAGAACTCTCTCTTTAGTTCTGTACCTCATTTTTTAATTGGCTTGCATGATTTGTTTTTTTATCTCCTTGAGTTCTTTATATATTCTGGATATTAGCCCTCTGTCAGATATAGAGTCAGTGAAGATCCTTTCCCATTCTGTAGGCTGTTGTTTCATTCTGATGACAGTCTCTTTTGTATTACAGAAACTTTTCATTTTCATGAGGTCCCATTTATTGATTATTGATCTTAGACCCTGTGCTCTTGGTGTTCTGTTCAGGAAGCTGTCTCCTGTGCCAATGAGGTCAAGGCTCTTCCCCACTTTTTCTTCTAATAGATTTAGTGTGTCTGTTTTTATGTTGAGGTCTTTGATCCACTTGGACTTTAACTTTGAGCAGGGTGATAAATATTGGTCTATCTGCATTTTTCTACATGTAGACATCCATTTACACTAGCACCATTTTTTTCCATTATATGGTTTTGACATTTTTGTCTAAAGTCAGATGTCCATAGGTGTGT